TGGAACTTGTAAGACAGGTTCAGCAGGGAGCCGGATACCAAAGCTCTCATCTTCCCATTCATTCCCAGACCACTGGTTTGTCATGGGACAAAGAGCACTAGGACACTGGGTGGTATTTCCTGACAGAGCCTCAGCTGTCTACTTGCCACTCCCCGCCCCCCCCACATACACACCTTTGCCATAAGCTCTCTAGAACTGGAAGAACCTGAGGGGAACATGGGAAATCTCTCATGCTAACTAACGGTCCTGATCAGGATTCTCCTACACACTACCTCCAAAGACAATATTCTCGAAGATTCTAGAAAACTGGATATTTGAGTCTTGAGGTTTTGGATATTCTCAATTTCAAATGTCCACCATCCAGTTCATAGAATGAAAACACGCCATGGATTCTGGGAAAAGAGAAACATGACTGAAGTCTCACATATATCCCACAGATATTGAAATTTAAAAATCTGTCCTTACCTCCAGATTGATCTGCCTCTCCCCACCTCCACCCTCATCTCCCGGTCTCCCTTATGTCCCATTAGCTGTCTTCATCCTCCCATCTCCTTAGCCTCTAAACCAAAGTGGGTAGGTGATTCAGTATGGGGAAGAAAAAGCCATTTCCTACTATATCTGTGTTGCCTCCTGTCTTCCCACCAACAGCAGCACAACCCCTCACCCAGACTCCAGATCTCTTATCTCAGCTATTTTCAAATATGTTAATAGGACACATTGGTTTGTACTGAGTTCTGTCCTAGGCCTAAGGTACCAAACTAAAGGGGAGGGGGGGAGTTTCTTTCGTCTTGAATTTCCATACCCAAAAGCTAAACATCAGGCCCTTATCTGATCTCCAAGATTTCAAGACAGAATGTCCACATTATCAAGCCAGTATGTCACTGTCATTATGAGAAGGAAGTCTCTTATGCTATACAGTAAAGGGGGTGGAGGGGTCAGCTTGTCTAGTTCTGCTGTCTACAGCCCTCTTCCGTCTACAAAGCCAGTGCCTCCGTTTGGCTCACTGAGCACAATTCTATGATACAAAAGAGGAACTGCCCAAGTCCAGACCCATAATTGTTGATGAAAACCTTACTTTGTATGTGTATGTTGACACAATTTACAGATCATTAATTCAGTTGATTTGGACTACCTTCAAGTGTTAGCTGACTATTCACTCTGTAGGGGAAAGGAAAAAACAACATTTGAGGTACCCAACTGGGTTTGAACTGGCCACAGAGTGGAGAGGACCCACACTCTGGCATATGACAACTAGAGTTCCTTCTTGGTTATCCAAGGCACAGTGGCAGCACCTGCCCATGTCTGGTGAGGCTGCACAGCTCCCAGGCCCAAAGCAAGGGGGCAGGGGTGGGGCAGGGGGGGGCGGGGTGCCAGGTCCCTGGGGGAATATGGGAAGGGCCTCCACTCTCCTCTGAAGCCTAGTGAAATTCCTCATTAAATATCTAGGACAATTCTCACAGGGAAGGGATAGAAGCTTGTCTCCCCAAGGGAAAAGAGGGGATGAGTACAGAAAGAGAAAAGGGGAGTGGGTGGGTATGCCAACTGAATAACCATAGGCCTTAGAATGCTCTGGCTAATACCCATTTTTCCCTTACTTAAACTGTGGCAGAGGCAGAGCACTTGCTTCCCAGCCAGTACACAACGTGCCAGTCACCACAAGGGGAAGCAAAGACAGGAGGGAGAATGTCAGCAGCCCCAGCCTGCGGGCCCTCCTCCCTTCCCTCTGTCTGGGGAACCTTCCATCTATGTAAAAGAAAACACAGTTCAGGGCACAGCCACTGACTTAAATGCAATATACATAGGAATTTATAGGATTAAGCTGAGCCAAAAGTGCTCAACTCCAACTACTCACCTCTGCTGATGCAACCCAAGCTCACCATTAACTAGAATACGCAAACATGGCTACATGGGTCAAACTGTATTCCCATAAAATCTTATTTACAGAGTCAACTCCTGTTTTTCTAGAACATACAAGCTGACCTGAATGACATTTAATGGGGAACAAATAAAGCAAGAAGAACATAGTAAAAGACTGATATGGATTTAATGAGACATATTCCATATTGGTTATTGAATACCAGGAGGCTGTCCAAGGAACCATCATTAAATAACATAATCCCAAAACAATGCAACTCTCACATACACAAGCATACTCACACAAAATGTTACTCTTTGAATCATTAAGTTAATCCCTATCTTTACAAACAGATGTAAAATATTACAGTGAAAAAAATACATGCACAGATTTCAGAAACACAATTGGGATTGTCTATGGACACAGATAAACGTACTCTTTTCAGATACATACGGCCTCATGATTGCCAAGACCACATGGCTCAAGGGGTAACTTCTCATCCTCCTCCACGTCAGAACTGGAGATTTAATCAAGCCATTTAACCTTTTAAATGGTTGCAGTTTTTGCTTAGAGAAGGGCAGCCTGCTCTTGATCAAAGTACAGGAATCTTTAGATGAATATATCCCAGGGTCAACTCCCACAGTCAATAGGAGAAAACCGTCATTCCAAGACTGAAGACAACGAACGACCTTCTGATGCAAGTGTGTTCCTTAAAGAGGTGCCAGAAAAAATGGAATCACATTTGAAATACACCTGTGTGGGGTACATGGGTGGGTGGATGAGTGGTTGAAGAGCTTTCTTCTGCTAAGGGGTTTGCTCACCGAAGAGATAGTAGCTGTGTCTTATGATGAGAGATAAAACCAGAGGCAAATGAAGTGTTAAGATTTCCACTACTATTATTTTCCATTTGCTTCAACACCCCCCCCCCCCACTGAACCCTCTTTCTAAAGTTGCAGATAATGACACACATCTGATGCTGGCTAGACCATGTGTAAATAACCCATAAAGTAGAAAAACAATCATGGGTAACAAAAAGTAGGATATTTCACAGGCAGAGACATGTGAGAAATTAAAACATCTGGCAGAGGTAGATGAGCATGCGAAAAACACGCGTACGCACACACACAGAACAAGACTCCCTAAATTTACTACGTTATTTTTCTGTAGGTCTTTATAATACTTGGAATTCAGACAAGAGTCAGAATAAATAACTTTGCTTGCATAACTCTTGTCTAAAAAGAAAATAAGTATCCCTAATAGGACCATCTATTATTTTCATTTGTGAATAGCAGTACTTGATGAAGAGGACAAGATCAACAGGCAATATACAAGCCCACATTATTCCATATTCTCATGTTCTTGTAACAAAAACATGCTTTCCTTTCCAATAGTCCCCAAAGAGGTTTGCTGCTAAAATACAAATGATTAAATATAAATTAATAGCAATCACAGAAATGTATACAGCTTTAGAATTGTAAGAACAATCTTGTATGGTGTCCAATGATTTGTGATAATGCTTCCATGAATCATACTGGGTATTAATGTTAAGGAAATAGTAGTGCTTTCCACAATTCTAACTTCTAGAGGCTAACCTATGGGAGGAATTTTCAGCATCGGGAACTGGAATCTATACAAGAGTCATCTAATTACAGCTCCCTACTAGAAATGGAACATAGCGAGGACACTTGAATAAGGTGACAAAGGCCAGCTTTGTCAATAAGGACACCTTTGGCCCTTCTGGGCTAGCTCTGAGTTCCCCCATCAAGTATAAGAATATCTCAGTGTCCCTATTTGTTATATAAATCCTAACAGATAAGTCTTCACCCTAGCAGGGGAGCTGGAAAACACACCTAATTCACAGTCCTCGGCCTTGCTTAGGACACCTCGCCACACTACCTCTAGGCCTTTTCTAAGACAGAGGTGATCATCCTGTTTCACCACACAAAGACATGAGAAACTAACCATCATTAAAAAGCATAAAGCACTCTGCAACTGCAAAAAGTGCTATTTTGGCATCAATGTAACAACTAGAAAACATTCATGACTTGTGCTATTTGGCAATTTTGCATTTACACTTCTCCCTGACTGTGCCTTCTTGTGTAGTCTTGATATGTTTACAGGGCCTCTACACACAGGGGGCAGGAAATCCTGCTTTGACTAGATCTCTCATTGACACAGACAGAGTTGGGGGTTAGTGGGGTTGGGGTACACACATGCAAAGTGGAGACAAATGAGACAAAGGACCTTTTCATCCCAACAAGCCACCTCTGCCTTCCTGGATTGCTCCCAGACCAAGCGAGAACTATTGCATTTCCCGCCCACTGACAAGGTGACAGATGAGACTGTCAGGGAATTCTGGGCCCGGCACACGTTTGACCTTGGAGGGAAGGGGCAGAGGTCACCCAACCTGGACCCCGCAGGAAGCTGGGGTGCCAGAAGTGGCAGCTCTGCATTTCCCAAGGAAGCTGCGAGCTGATGACGAGCGGTTTCCTAACTCGCAGAGGTCGCCCCTTTAAAAGGCGGCCATGTGGGGTGGGGTTTGTTTTTTCTGCTCAGTTTTCCCCTAGATGTATCAAAACAGCAGCTAACCTGTGACTCACAGACAGGGGGACAGGGGGATCCCCTCTGACTGCACTAAGGTTCTCGTTCTCCCCCTATAACTGCGAGGGGGGTTCAAGGCGGACACTGCTCCGACCATGGAGGGGGGGTACCGGACAGAACCTTTAGCACCTGCTTGATGTCTGTCCCCTTCTTCTTCCTAGATTCCGGCCGATCACAGCCGCACATCCCTATCTCCCTGCCCGCCCTGCGGTTCTGTGCCTCCCCAGACCCCCGATCCCTCCGAACCCCTTCCTCACGGGCCCTCAAAACCGGCCTCTGAGCCCCGCTCCCGCCTGCACCTGCGGCATCCCCAGGGAACTCACCCACATCTCATGGGAAGCTCATCCGCCAGAAGGAGGTAGGCAAAAATCATTAGCACCCCAAAAGTAAGTGGCTCCAGGGCATCCCAAGCGGCTTCCCAGGGTGTCCCCCGCAGGCCCCGGGTGTCCCCCGCAAGCCCCAGATGTCCACCTGCAGGGGCAGGCCCCGGATGTCCTCCCAGGCAGCCCTGCCCCCCCCCACCCCCCCCCCCCCCCCCCCCGTCACCTAGCACAGGTGCAGCTTGTGGTGCTGCGCCAGGTGTGTCTTGTAGCGGAAGGCCTTGCCGCAGGCGGCGCAGCGGTGCGGCCGGTGCCCGGTGTGGATGCGGCGGTGGCGGATGAGGTGCGAGCTCTGGATGAAGCTCTTGCCGCACTCGGCGCAGGCGTAGGGCTTCTCGCCCGTGTGCGTGCGCTGGTGCTGCGTGAGCGTGGAGAAGTCGCCGAAGCGCTTGGGGCACTGGCCGCAGCCGAAGGGCTTCTCGCCGGTGTGCACACGCAGGTGGTTGACCAGGTGCGAGTTGCGGCCGAAGGCCTTGCCGCACTCGCCGCATGTGTAGGGGCGCTCGCCCGAGTGCGTGCGCTTGTGCGTGAAGAGGTGTGAGCTGACGCTGAAGGCCTCGCCGCACTCGGAGCACAGGTAGGGCTTCTCGCCTGTGTGCACGCGCTGGTGCTTCACTAGGTCCGAGCGCCAGCTGAAGCGCTTGCCGCACTCGCCGCAGCCGTGTGGCTTCTCGCCCGTGTGCACGCGCTGGTGGTTGGCCAGGTGCGAGCGGCGCGCGAAGCCCTTGCCACACTCGCCGCAAGCGAAGGGCCGCGCGGCCGCCGTGCCCGCGCCCGCTCCCGCCGTGCCCGCGCCCGCCGCGTGCGCCCGCCGGTGGCTCAGCAGGTGCGAGCTGAGGCTGAAGGCCTGGCCGCACTCCGGGCACGGGTAGGGCTTCTCGCCGGTGTGCAGCCGCCGGTGCTTGAGCAGGTCGGCGCGCCAGCTGAAGCTCTTGCCGCAGTCGGTGCACAGGTTGGGCCGCTCGCCCGCGTGCAGGCGCAGGTGGTTGGCCAGGTAGGTGTTGCGGCTGAAGCCCTTGCCACACTCACCACAGTGGAAGGGCTTCTCCCGTGGGGGTCGCGCGCGCGCCGGCGCCGCTGGCGCCACACTGCCGGCCACGCCCACCAGCGCGGCACCGGCCACGCCCAGCGCCGCCTCGGCCACGCCCACCGCCAGACTGGTCACGCCCACCGCCACACTGGTCACGCCCACCGCCGCGCCGCACTCCCCCGCCAGGCTGAAGCGCCCCAGGCCGGCCTCCCCCTCCTCCTCCTCCGCCGCCGCCGCCGCCGCCGCCGCCTCGGCAAGCTGGTGCGTGCGCTCGTGCTGCGCGAAGGCCGCGCCCGGGCTGAAGCTCTCCCCGCAGTCCGGGCAGATGGTGGGGGCGTCCAGGATGCCGGCTACCAGGCCGTCCAGCTCCCCGAGGTCCACCACGGCCGGCGGCAGCTGCGGCCGCTGGAAGCGGCGCGGGCCCGGCCGGTCGCCCCGCAGCCGACTGGACAGCTGGCGCCGCCAGGGGAGTACGGGCGGTGGCCGGGCCTCCTCCTCCTCCTCCTCCGCCCCCGGGCTCCGGGGCGGGCGGGCGGGCCTCCACGGTCCCGGAGGCGTCCTCGGGGCCCCTAGGCGCTCTTCCCGCTGGCGCCTCCCTGCAACGGAAGAGAGGCGGGAGGAGACCGCACCTCCGGGCGGGCGCCCCCAGCCCTCGGGGTACCCCCGGTCCCCCCCCCCCCGGCTTCCCCCCCCCCCCCCGCTTCCAAGGAACCTCTCCCTAGGCCCCCCCCCTCCCCCCCCCCGTCTCCCTCCCCCGTCCCAGTCCTCCTCCCGCCAGTCTAAGAATCTAGAAAGGCCTGGAAGCAGATGCCCGGCTCAGGCCTACCAGTTTTTCTCCTACCCCAGGCACTAGCCAGAGACGGCCAATTCTATATCTTATCTCCATCTCGCCCTAGCTGCTGATGCCCTCCTATCCTCATCACCTCCGCCATCACCGTCTTTAGTTGCACCAAGGGGTGTCAATTCCACAAGTCAGATTGTGAGTACCATGCACCTCGAGCCTTGTCATCTCTTCCATCGCAGCTAATCCCACTCACACCCTCAGATTACACGGTTTTAGCCTCATATAGGTACTGTGCTAATGCCTTTTACGGCTCTGGGCCTCCAAAGTCAAGATCATTCTAACCTCAAAACAGCATCAACAAGGAGCACATCGCTTAACCAGATCTTGGACACACTTTTTAAAATACATTGGGACAGGTGCTGGTGGCTCTCACTTGTCATCCTAGCTACTCAGGAGGCTGAGATCTGAGGATTGTAGACACAAGCCAGTCCAGGCAGGAAAGTCTTCTCTCCAATTAACCAACAACAAAACAAAAACAGGCAAGGCCATGGCTCCTATAGTAGAGCCTCAGCCTTGAGCTCAAAATCCAAGCCAGAGCCCAAGGCCCTGAGTTCAAGCCCCAGTACCAGCACAATAATAAATATATTTGGTCTATCTGAAAAGGCTTACAATGACACAATAATTTAAACCCAGACAAGATAAAGATTTGACTGATGGAGAAGGGGATGGAAAGAAGGCTCAGTGCCTAGGGCTGAGTCCAGGCTCCTGTCCAGGACACAATCTGTGGATTCCTGCTGGTTTATTCTCCCAAGCCCAGGACCCTCACAGAAGTCACAGCCATACACAAGGCTGCATGTTTGTGCGTACTTTGGGGAAGAAAGGCAGGGTGCCTGGTACTTGGTCGTGGGAAAAAGGAATGTAACCTCACAGTTGTGGCCATGAAGTATTTCAGCTCATTTCTGTCCCTAGGGCATGCACTGAGCCAGGATAAAGCAGTGAATGCCCAAAGATGGAAACAAGGAAGTGGACAGAGGCCCAGCATTTAATTTTTCAGGTCAGAAATAACCAGGGAGATAATCAGCGGACGTGGGGGCAACTTGAGAATCCACACAGTGACCCACACAGGTCACTTACCACTGATAGGAGAAAATGACTTCACGTCTCGATACTTTACACATTACTGCACTAATTCTTCAAACACAGCACCCCATTTAACTCTCCCCACCCCCTGTAAGGCAGGTCCTAATGTTTCCTCTATAATTCTGCTGTGCTGCTGTTACAAGCAGTTCATTTACAGCAGTTCTCTTTGGGGTAGTCTGCTGGGCAAATGCATACTAACACAGCCTTGATGAGGACCAACACTGGAAAGGCTCAGGAAGGGTAAGTTGGTACAGAGCCCTACTTAATGATCTCCTCTAGAGAACTACCCCTGAAAAGATGCTGCCCCTGGTTATAATTCTAGAGGGGCTAGATGTAAGAGGGCAGGGCAGATTCCACAGAAATTCCAGCCTCTTACCTGTCCAGTTGTCAGGCACTAGTTCTTCCTCCAGAGCTTCCTGCAGTAGGTTTGAGGCCATCTCTGGCTGTAGGTGGTCTCTCTCCTTGGAATCCCATGCATTAGAGTCCATGCTTATTTCTTCTGGGTCTCCTTCCCTGTCCTCAGAATTCTCAAAATCAGAGCCCATTCCGTGAATTTCTGAGTCCTGATGCTCACACACACCCTGATTATCTTCTTGTTCCATCCAAAAAGAAAAGGCCAGGGGAGGCGACCAGGGGCGCCTGCTCTAGATAAAACACAGAAAGGCCACATCAGCCTGGATGCACAGCCTCCTCATGTCCGATTTCCACATCCAATAAAGTATCTAGAGATCCAAGCTCCACATGGCAAGTCTACTCCTAACCACATGTACCATTTAAAGTCAGTTTCAGCTGGGTGCAGAGGAGGGTGTTTGAAGGCGCAGCTATGACCTAACTGTAAGGTCACTTGACAGCACCGCACCCAAGCTGCATCTGCTCCTATCTATGAAATGGTTGTCCACTGGGGTGTGCTTACAGCTTAACACTGACGTAGGTACCCCCAGTTTTACAGCTGAGAAAACAAGGAGGCTCGAAAAGAAATAGACACCAGACACCAGTGACTCATGCTGGTAATCCTAGCTACTCAGGAGGCTGAAATTCAGAGGACCTTGGTTCAAAGCTGACCCAGGCAGAAAACTCCATGAAGATTCTTATCTCCAACTGGCCAGCAAAATGCTGGAAGCAGAGGTATGGTTCAGGTGATACAAGCAAGCAAGCCTAGCTAGCACAATGTCCTTAGTTAACTTGAATACACACACACACACACACACACACACACACACACACACACACACACACACACACACACACACACACACACACACACACACACACACACACACACACACACACACACACACACACAAAATCCCATAACTTAAGAAACAGCTTAAGAGACTTAAGAGACTGATGCTGCTGTCTCAAGTTCTTTCTTTACTGTTCTTATTAAGATTGCCCTCCACAATCTTCATTACAATTTGCAATTTTTTTTGGTAATTATGAGTGCCTTTACAGAGCTAGAAGACAAATACATTCAACACACAGGAGGAACCAGGCATACCAATATGTAAACTTCTTATCTAAGGTCAACAGTAGCACCATCAGCCTCCCTGAGTGTATGTGTATGTGTGTGTGTGCATGCATGTGTGCACACTAGTACTGGGGCCTGAACTGAGGGCCTCGTGTTCTTACTTAGCTTTTTCACTCTATCACTTAAGCCACTGCTCTACTTCTAGCTTGTTGGTAGTAAATTAGAAGATAAGAGTCTCACAGAATTTCCTGCCCAAGCTGGCTTTGAACTTCAGTCCTCAGATCTCAGCCTCCTGAGTAGCTGGGATGAGAGGTATAAGCCACTGGCACCCAACTGAGCATCCCTTTTGCAGCCATATCTGCTGAGTACCTGGGACAGGTAACCCAAGACGATGTAAGCCCCAACAGGTCTGACAGAGGTGGGGGGTAGGCTAGAGAAAGGGATACAGAGGGCCTACTATCTTGAAGCCATCTCTAGAGCTCTAATTATAATGTTTGCAATATCCAAATTATAGAGAAATTCTAGGAGGACCACACACACCAGAGACAATGGGTAACTTTTATACAGAAAAGGCCAACAGGTGATTTCTAAATGGCATGTTGAATGGAAATCCTTTTTGTACCTTCAAGGTAATGAAGAAATTAATGATTATTACAAAAAATAACAGATGATAGGAGAAAACTCTCATTAAAGCCATAAACCTTTCCAGAAGTACGTCCTTTAACAAGTTATTGTCCCTTGTCACTTCTGCCTGACATCGCTTTGCCTCCCAGAAGCCCCAGCAAATTTCCTGAGTATGTACATGTAATGTCCCTGAAGGTGGGGGCGGGCAGGCTGTAGTAGGTTCATCAGTGATGGAGGACAGCAGAGGGGTAAACAGTAGAACCAACCATTGGTTTATGCCAATGTAACTCCAGCAAGAACATCATATCCCAGCTAAGGGTGTGGCTCAAGTGGTAGAGCACCTTCCTAAGAAGCACTAAGTTCTCAATTCAGATCCCATTACCACCTTTAAAAAAAAAAATCAGTGGGATGCCAGTGGCTCACGCCTGTAATCCTAACTACTAATGAGGCTGAGATCTGAGGATCATGGTTTCAAAGCCAACCCAGGCAGGAAAAGTCCATGGGACTCTATCTCCAATTAAACGCCAGAAGACCAGAAGTAGCGCTTTGGCTCAAGGGGTAAAGTGCTAGCCTTAAACTAAAGAGCTGAAAGATAACACCAAGGCCCAGAGTTCAAGTCCCACAAATGAAAAAAAAAAAAAAGATTCAAAAACCCCAGCTTCTCACCTATAATGGAATCAAATAAGCATACCATCAGAAACTCCTAGAACTAAAGTGGTTGGTGCCTAGCATGGTACAGAGGTGGACTGCAGGTCTTGGTCCAACTTGAAAAGCAAGGAGCAGTGAGAGAGAGAGAGAGAGAGAGAGAGAGAGAATATATATAGGTGTGTTGTGTTGGTCCTGAGGCCTGAATGAACTTGGGGCTTCATACTTGCTCAACTTTTTTGCTTGTGGCTAGCAGTCTACGTTTTGAGCCATACTTCCAGTCTAGGATTTTACTGGCTAACTGGTGGAGGAGTCCTGCAGACTTCTCTGCCTGGGCTGGCCTTGAACCTCTGATCTTCCATGTCTCAACTTAGCCCTGAGTAGACTGGACTGCAGATATGAACCAGCAGTGCCCCGCTGATTTACAACTTTAACTCATTTAATCTTAACCAAAACTCAATGAAGGAGAATATTTCCAACTTAAAAGCCTGGTGAGTTCAAAGCAGCATTCACATTGAGAGTTCAGATCCAGCCCACGTTTCCAAGCAGCTTCTAATGAGGAGAGTCTCTTCCCTTGTCTATTTTTCACAATAAACATATTTGTGTGTATGTGTGTGCATATGCATGCACACACATGAACGCACCAATACTAAATTAAGGTCTGAAAGTTCCTTAATCTCTCAAGGCTGGCTCTTGAGTTACAACTCCACTTCCAGCTTTCTGCTAGTTAACTGGAGATGAGAGTCTCTCAGATTTGTCTGCCCAGCCTGGCTTTGAACTACAGTCCTCAGCTCTCACTTCCTAAATAGCTAGGATTACAGGTGTGAACCACTTAGTAATAAACTTGTATTTAACCAGGCAAAAGGCTAGCTTTGTTGTTAACATGGGTGTTTTTTTTTTTACTCTGTTATAGAAAAACTTTTAATTTTAGAAAACAAGAGCAGGAGTTTCAATTGCTTCAATCTAGAAGACTTATTTTGGGAACACATTGTGTTCCAACTCCATTCCCACTCATTCTCAAAATAAAAACTAGCAATATGCTTTCTCAAGCAGAAAACAGCCAGGGGCTGGATAATGAATAGGTAGTAGGGCCGTTGTGATGGCTTTATGGCTAGATTGACAAGATGTAAGTAAGGTCTTTCCTCTTTGTTAGCTACTTGACCTTATACAAGTTACAGGACCTTCTTCTGAATCCATTAAAAAAGAAGAATGCTGCCACTTCCTTGCAGGATCTAGAAGCATATTCATGTTCATTAAAAAAACAAAAAGCACCTTAGAGACATAAGAAACGTTAAAGCTACTCAATTATGAAACTTCAGCCAACTTTTTGATTTAAAAAAAATGCACAATAAAGTTAGATGCTAGTGGCTCATGCCTGTAATCCTAGCTTCTCAAAGGGCTGGGATCTGAGGTTCAAAGCCAGCCTGAGCAGGAAAGTCCATGAGATTCTTATTAAACAGCAAAAAGCCAAAAGTGAAGGTATGGCTCAAGTGGTAGAGCAAGCACCAGCCGTGAGTGAAAAAGCTAATGGACAGCATCCAAGTCCTGAGTTCAAGACCCAACATGGGAAAAAAAGGACAGAGAGATACCCTCCTGGCAAACCTCTAGTCCTTGGAGGGGCACTCTGGACCCCACACCTCCACCAGTTGCCTAGGGGAGACCAAAATGGTCGGTCCCCACTGGAACAGTGTCCCATTTAGATACATCCAAGCCACGCACACTGCTCCGATCAGATGGGCCAAATCTCCCTCCACACATATTACACATGGGAAAACTAGCAGGTGGCTGTCTCCTGAGGCCACATCTGGAATCAAACTGCCTCGCAGCTCCCTGGTGGTGTTCTTTTCCCTCTCCCTGCCCCCCACCCCACCAGGGCCCTTGCCCCCTCTGGTGGGGGTCTGGAAAGAGGCAGACCACCCACATGGAAAGGATCCCAGGAGGCTGGACCTGGCACAGAGGTGGCCAGCAGGGGTGGAGGCTAACCTGAGAGCAGCCAGTGGGAGGGAGCCCAGCGCTGAGCTGTCCCGTGGGGGGAGGGAAGCCAAAGCTCCCTCTCCGCCACCTCCAGACCACAGCCCCCTTCCCCAGCCTTACCTCTGGTAGGAGACACAGCCGCTTCCCACGCCCCTGCCCTGCGTGCTCTCCAGAGGGAACACTTTCCACGCTAGAGGCCAGGCAGGGCTGGGCAGGGCTGGAAAAACAATCTCAGCCTGCGGTTCAAAAGGCTGAACTCATGACCAGAACTGGGGTCTAATGGAGGACTCCAGGCGTTAATCATTTGTCGTCCTATGGCGTTAACAGTCCACCAGAGCTCAGGCAGCCACAGGGAGCGTCTAGACAGAAAGGACCCCTGCTTCTCTCTCTCTCTCTCTCTCTCTCTCTCTCTCTCTCACACACACACACACACACACACACACACATACTCAGCAAAAGAACCTCTAGTATTTTCAGGGGATGCCTCCACCTATTCCTGATGAGAAAGTTCCACCTGTTCCTTTTAGAGCTTTGCTTTTTATTTTTGTCCCCTGTGCTTGGCACTGTACCACCACCACCGCCTTGATGCACCTGCTTTTTAGACTTTTGTTTCTGTTGTTGTGTTCTTATTCTAGAAGAGTGAAGCCTGATCAGCCTCCATGAGTTCAAACCTAGGAGCAGCACAAAAAGGAGCAGAATGAGTGTGCACATACATTCAAGCTCTCTCACTCTCTTGCTCATGATCTTTCTCTCTCCTCTCTGTCCTCTGTCTCTCTTTCTCTGTCTTTCTATCTCTCTAACTCATGCACTCTGTCTCCTGTTTCTGTCTTTCTGTTTCTCTGTCTTTCTCTCTGTCTCTGTCTCTGTCTTTATGTCTTTCTCTATCTCCCTCCCTCACCCCTCCAGTCACAGACTACATAACCCCAATTCCCA